TGTTCAATTCAGCGATGAAATACAGCATTCATGAAAATAGAACTGTTAGTTTGAAAGAATCACTTGTTCAAATACTTGCTTTCACATTCAGTTACTGCCTAGGGTAAAGCCCACCACTTCTGTGAACAAGGAATGATTCTCTATGCACAAAGGGCGTATCTTAAAATACAGCCTGATTTTCAGAAAATATTTGTCCCTGTTGCCTTCGAAGGTAGGCATGGGAGGCGGGCCTCTTTTAACATAGGGCAACTGGGATGCCTCAAAGTGGAACTGATTTTTCTAAAAAACACAGACCTGAAATGAATGCTTGTACTTTTCTCCCCTCAACCCAAGACTGTGGCTCCCACATGTGCTACAGTCCCTCTCCACATATATCCTAGAGAGTAAGGTCTTCCTTTGCAGCACTGATTTAGTTTCAGGCCCATTACACACAGGCACAGCAGAAGTATTCAGAATATTTAAGAAACCTTCAAATGAAGTTGCCAGAGAGGAGTTTGCAATCTCCTGTTAAATCACCTCTGCCATCTGTCCAGAATTTCCTCAAGAAATTACTATGAAAACATACAGCCAAGAACATAACAGCATCCACAGATTTCCTTATAGATGTGTTCTTAATGTTCAGGATAATTTTCTTCTCAACAAGATTCAGTAATAATCACAGACTTTTCTGTTGGTAATTTAAGGACTTCATAAACGTGGAAGACATTTCAGTGTCTTGGTCTGTATACAGATGAAAGCCATGATCATACAAAACTCTCACAAAAATCTCTCTTTGGGGAAAATGAGAAGAGTTTGCCACATTGAGTAAATAATTTAGCAGCTGCATTCCCTCTTTTATTCAGGGAAAGGAATAGGTACATTTTGGCAGAGAGGAACAGTGTTAATTTAACTCAGTTGGGCTCTGCCTAACAGGCTCCTGGGTGTCAGGGTAAGCTGCTGCAGCCTCCCTCGGTTTCTCACACAGGGTCATCACAGGCTTAGCATCCTGACTGCCTCCACTCAGCACCTACGTTATGCCTCAGGAGTAGATAGCGACATGGTATGGGTTACAACTGTGGTCAGGCTTCAATAGCTGTGGTTTCTATCATGTGCGTCCACCATGATCTAATTACATTAGTGCAACTGCACTTATGATGGGCTTTCTTGAAAGAGAAATATCAACAACATTTCAGCAGAGACAGCAGTGTTCCAAAATATTGGCAAAATACTGCAGTTGGCGAGTAACTGTTGCTGAACTCATTTGACGTCTGCTTTAAAATTGCCCATGAACAGTTAGCAAGATTCTGAAATGTGTTCATTATCTGGAGGATTATTCTTGATGTGCAGTCAGCTTCTAAAAAGTTTGCTGCAAATACAGTCTCCATCAGGTTAATTACTCACAGAAGTTACAGAGTGCTGCTTTCTGTACTCCAACAGGGTGGCTTCTCTGGCTCACACAGCACAAGCTGTGAATAGTACAATTAACTGCATGACTTTGATGCACAATATGGAAGCGTGATGCTAAACATTTGCTTTTTACAATCATCTACTCTAGCAAAGTTTAAGCCTTTTATTACTTACAGTATGACAGCCAGGTTGGGAAAGAGACAGATTGAATTAAAACGTTTTTTAAAACAAGGATCCAGGAGCTTAATATTGCTGATGCCCTGATAAAAAGCTTTCTTTCACCCAGAGAACAAAGGAAAGGAGGTGACACTTTCCTTTGCCTGTGCCAATATCCCCAAACATGATGCACCCAATCCCAACTGACAAAAGACAAAGCTGATAAAAGCTTTCTGCTCTCCCTGTGACAACCCATATCCAGCTGCTAGAGGGTCTTCAAATTTCAGCACCAAATTCAAGACCATCATGGCAAAACTACAAAATATACTGAATCCAGTATCAGGGACTAGAAATACAGTGTATTAGTGAATTTGCTACCCATTTTAATATTTAAGGCAGCTTTAGACATATATACTATTGAGTAGGTTAAAAATGTTCTGAAGAACTTCTGAGCAAACTGCTAAAGGATCCACAATAACGTGGACATTGAAGAATTTTCGTTTGTTATTTAGATGAAAGTAGTGGCCTTAGTTCATAGACTTTATTTCTCCTCTTTTCCAAGTGAGAAACTAACAAAGTTTTAACACACTAATCCAAGCACATTAATTTTTACACTCTGATTTCATTCCCTGTAATTCACATCCTTGATAGAGAAGTCCTGCATAGTGCATGGCTGCAGTATTTAATTTCGGATCGCAACACATGACAAGGAAAAGGTTTGCTGTCACAGACTTTACACTATGAATAATTCTGCAACCATCAACACAGGAGTAATTCCAGGAAAGCCCAGGTTAGGCACTTGTTTAGGTCTTTGATGAATTAGCATAATCTTTAATAATAGAATTTGGCAACCTCTTCAATTCTTGACTGCTAAATCACCACAAAATAGGTATTTTACTACTTAGTTCATGTTTTCCTGCCTAATCGATCTATTTTCTTGCTTGTGCAAGCTAAACATTATTGGAATTTCTATGCAGGAACAATGAGCATTACCAGAAATAATTTGTAGGAGCATTTGCCCTATGGCCAAAAAACAGCCCCAAAACCACCTGACACAGCTACTTATCTAACCCCCTCTGGGAACCTACAAAGAGAGAGAAATTAGCCCTGAAGGTGTCAATAATCTCAGCTAAAACAGCAGACCAAAACTGCTCAGCAAATTTTGTTATGTTTGCACTATTTGCCAATTCTGTTTGTGCTATTTTCTTCCAAATGTGTTGCCCATATATAGAAAAAAGATCCGGTAAAGCAGGACGGTGAACTTTAATCTTCACATTTTAACCTCACAGCTGAGTAGGAATAGCTGAGAGAGCCATCACAGGAAAGCAGAAAGCTGTCTTCTTGGTTTTCACCTCAATCTTCCTGAAAAATAATTAAATCTAAAACTTCACTCATCAGGAAAATTACAGCTAGTTCAATCTTAACCACTTCACCTGCACTCCAAGATTACCACAGAAAAAGATACACTTGTTTCAAGAGATAGCAATCCAAGGGTCTATATAAGAAATATTCATCTTGGACAGTTATCTGTAGATTTCATAACTGAGCAAAAAATTCTCTACAGTAGCTTGGAATCTTTCTTCAAAATAGTCTAAGAGTTTTGTGGCCTCTAATCCTTTCAGAGTACGCAAGATTGGACATCACAGCCAATTATTGCTGTACAGAGACATTGCTGGACTGAAAAGTTGTTTTCTGTAATTTTGTGGTTTGTAAGAAGCATTGGTTACAATTTTCTCCTCACTCAGCTGTTTGTTCAGTATTGATGGTAACTAATTCACATGCCTTTATTAAAGAAATTATGTATAAGAGACATGATTAGAGAATGCAATATAGCTCCCTAAAATAATTCATCATATGCAGAATATTAGAGGTATTTGTGAGCCTTAATGCTAGAGTCCATTAAATACAGTTACCCAGGTAGCCCTCACTCTATATCTCCACTTCTGTATTTCTTTCTTAACACAGTCTTCTAGACCTTACACTTCTATGTTTTTGATACATTATGACATTTCACGTTTACTCTTTTTTCTGCTGGGGTTTCTGCTGGGGCAGTTATCAGAGAATTCACAGCTAAGCCAGAAAGAAAACCAACCTACCAGATCAGGGAAGTGTTTTGCCTTTCTCACAACTGTGTCTCAGTGACCCTAGTGGGCTGATACATCAGGACAGATCTCCTCTCCAGACGTTACAGTAGGCATTTGTGTATATATTTATCACAACTGTATTTAGTTAGAAGGATGTATGTGTATGTGCCAAGATCACTGTATTTTGCAGCCCTATGGGGCAATTAAAGGCTTCACTTAAATATACTGCTACTACCCGTTAGGAGTGGACCAGAAACCCCAAATCTTGTGACAAATAGTGAAGGACATCATATTCAACCTCTACCTCATTAAACTGCCTCAGTATTAGGGAAAAACTGATTGAAATTGATGAAGCTCTGTAACAGGCCACAAATTCACATTATCCTATTTCATGGAAGGAGAAAGGGGTATGTAGGTTCTGGTCATTAAATAATTAAAAGTGTCCATAATGAAGACTAGCAGGACAGTACTACCTATAAATCTGTAAGAAGAATATAGTCTGCACATATTAAGCAAACGTTCAGATTGTGTCTCTGCTGTTTTCACATCTCAGCGCGAAATAGTGGTATAGGATAACAGCACTGTCACTCTGATAGCCTACATAAAGAAGGCCTGTGTCTGCACAAACCCTAGGTCACCTGGCAAGAGACCCTGCCACGGGGCCACCCTCTCACTCAGTTTTGGAGAAAGGGAGATCATACATATCCAACACGTGGGAGCGACAGGCTCCTTAAGAGGCATTTTGAAATAATCCAAGCAACTTGTCGAAGCAGTGAGGAAACAGAAAAGACATTCCTAAGACAGATCTTCTCCTTTTCAGCTGAATCCATATATATATTTTGTTCTCTCCAAGGTAATTACTAAGTGTTTCAAAGACTATAGTGTAAAGCTCATCTGTTGCATGCATCTACTATCCTTTAGCATTGAAACAATACAATAGCAAAACCAAAGAATGCAGAGCCTACAGGCACCCTCCAGCTACTGGTGTGCCTTGGAGGACTCAGCACTGATCCAGCAGGCTTAATGCAGCTTGTCTCATTTCCATGAAACAATGATAAACAGAAATGGTTCCCAGGAAACATGCTAAGAGCAAAGGAAGCTTCAGGGCTGGCATATTCCCCAGATCCGGGGAAGCCTCAAAGCTCCTTAGTGCTGGAGGCAAGGCTGGTGCAGCAGCAGGGATGCAAGAACCCCAGGCAGGTAGGCAAGTGCTCTGTATGCTGGCCAGTGAAATGGTACTGTTAATAGGCTGCCATCATGATTTGTCTTATGTGGTATACCAATGATGTTTGCTCATGAAATGTAAAGGCTGGTCTGGGGGGAGAGGAGAAGGAAGCCATCGAGAATAACTGAAATACATTCATTTATTTCTAGACTTTTATGAAGTCTACTCCGGCCCTGATCTTTACATGGGTAAGACAACATACAGTTATCTCTCTCTCTCCTGCATCTTTACCAAGTTCAATTCTTTACCAAGCACACCAAACTGTGCTCCTTGTTAGTAGGACTGGCATTAACATTTAGACCAAAAGAAATTTGTAGGCATCCATATGTATATTTGCAACTAATGCTATTAATCCTAAATTAAAGTACATGATTTTTCATTTTTTAAATAATTTTTAAGTGTTCCATGGCATATTTTAAAAGATTGTCCAGAAAAAATGCTAGTAAGCAAGAAAATGCTAGGAACCAGAAAATTATTTCATATACTTTTAAAATTACCTAAATAGCCAACATACCATGCATGCTAAACTTCTTTTATAATCTATGAGAAATTATCAATCATAAAAGGATGACTTCACGTTGTACTGCTATATTCTAGTTGCACTATCTCACACTGTGGTAACTCATGAAATTAAAAACAGGATATCCAAGAAGTGCATTAAGAAATTTAGCTTATTAATGTTCAATCATATTTAAACCCATTTTTCTTGCCATTGGCTTTTATGATCCAACAATGGAAAATTTTTCTTCATATTTTTCAGAAATAACAGAAAATTCCAAGAAATGGAAGCCCCTGCTAGTAAAAGAAGAAAAGCTGAGTATCACCACAGTTAATAGCTCCTATTTGAGATCCATGAATGCTTACAGGATTACTTTCCTATATCGAACTTTCAAGTTTCATTAATAATATGCTGCCTTCCTGGGACACAGGTGCACTCCTGGTACGAAGGCTATTTATTTGTTGCATGGAGGAATAGAGGAGCTAGAGGAACAATGGCTTCAAAGGTCTCATGCTTATACGTCTTGACAGTAGTTTGTTGGGCAAGTGCTCTCTGGTACTTAAGTATAACTCGCCCTACTTCTTCCTACACTGGCCACAGACAACTCAGTAGCATAACCATAGCCAGAAAAAATGTTTCCTTTGGCAACATAAGAACTCGACCTATAAATCCGCATTCCTTTGAGTTTCTTATCAATGAACCCAACAAATGTGAGAAGAGCATCCCTTTCTTGGTCATTCTTATCAGCACAACTCACAAGGAGTTTGATGCAAGGCAAGCCATTCGAGAAACGTGGGGAGATGAAAACAACTTTAAGGGAATCAAAATTGCCACACTATTTCTTCTTGGAAAAAACACAGACCCAGTGTTAAATCAAATGGTAGAGCAAGAAAGCCAAATTTTTCATGACATTATTGTGGAGGATTTTATTGACTCTTATCATAACCTCACTCTGAAAACACTGATGGGGATGAGGTGGGTAGCAACGTTTTGTTCAAAAGCAAAGTACGTTATGAAGACAGACAGTGATATTTTTGTAAATATGGATAATCTTATTTATAAGCTGCTCAAACCTAACACCAAGCCAAGGAGAAGGTACTTCACTGGTTACGTTATAAATGGAGGGCCAATAAGAGATGTTCGCAGTAAGTGGTACATGCCAAGAGATTTGTATCCCGACAGCAATTACCCACCCTTCTGTTCAGGTACAGGCTACATTTTTTCAGCTGATGTAGCAGAACTGATTTACAAAACCTCCCTTCATACCAGACTTCTTCACCTTGAAGATGTGTACGTCGGACTCTGTCTTCGGAAGCTGGGTATTCACCCTTTCCAAAACAGTGGCTTCAATCACTGGAAAATGGCCTACAGCTTGTGCAGGTACCGCAGGGTGATCACAGTGCACCAGATAACACCAGAAGAAATGCACAGAATTTGGAATGACATGTCCAGCAAGAAACATCTTAGATGCTAAGATTTTTACAGATGTAAATACTTCTTTTTTTAAAAAGAAATTTTGGTTTAGTCTGGTTATTTTTTGACAAAGTGGTCTGCTGATTTACAGGTTAAACTGTGGGATACTGCGAGAGGATTTTTAATGACTGATTTTTCATTCTCGTTTTGACTACTGGTTTACAGACTTCAGGCTCTTTTCATCAGGACATCACACCAACTGAAAGGATCTAGAGTCAAATCTCAGATTTTGTATATTATCCTCTATCACACATATCAGCTCCTGCATCTGTATGTAAAAGGACAGTAATAAACTGTTACAAGCTGCTTAACAGTTCATGCCCCAGCCTCTGAGATAAGACTCAGACCCTAAGAAATGAAGACTTAGAAACGTACTTTCATTCCTCTTTTAACACCCTACACCCATATGTATTTAGAAGTTTGTTAATAAATTGAGCAGTATACATTTGCACTGACCTTATACACCTGTACTGACATGTATATTTTATAGTACAATGTATGCAATTCCCAAGCAGCTTACTGATGGTATAATAGCAGAATTTAGACAGGTAAGAACATCGAAGTCTCATAAACCTTAAAAAAAAAATCCACACACTGAAGTATATATTTATCGACCAAGTGATATTCCTTTAAATTATTTCAGAAGATAGCCCATTTCTTTCTGCTGCCTAAAGGAACTCTAAAAGATATACCATTTTAAAATAAAGTAGAATCTGTAGATTAAATAAGACGGGGGAGATGTATGGAAAACTACCTGAGAACATACATGAGAAAAGTATGAATGTCTTTCAACTTTTAATTTCATAGCAAGGCAATGTTTTTCATTAGTATGAGTGGATCTCTCCATTGTCTTGCATAAGCAATATATATTGACAAGCATCAATAAGCAGCATATTTCTTCAACATTGTTCAGTGCACTATTTACTGACAAAAAGTAACACAAAAGCAGCTTTTTGAGAGTAAGCTCTGCTTCTTGCTACATGAATGAGATTCTCCCAGATTTTTAATGGTGTAGAAAAGTAGGATCTCAAGAGATTCCCCAGAGCATACAACAGAAATTAAATACACAAAATTTTATTCAAGTTTCGTAATGTGCTTATGTCTTTTGAATATTAATGTTAATGAAATGTCCTGAAAATTATTTCAAGGAGAATTTTTTGGTAAATTCAAGACACCTCTATTCAGCACCTTCTAACAAAGAGTTAAAATATTACATTTCTCAACAAATAACTTGGATTGAAGAATTCCTAAACAAATTACACTTATACAAAATCACCAAATATATTACTAGCTGCAGGTTATTCAAACTGTCCATAGCACACACACAAGTCTCATTCGTTTCAGCTGACATTATGTGTAATATATGAAAAACTGTTAAGTCTGTATGTTATTCAGGATGTCTATAAAGTTGTCAGAAATTAACTGAGTAAGAATTTAAAAAATTTAAATTTGTCATAAGTGTACATAGCTCATTACAACAGTAAAAAGGGAATGAAAATGCTACCCTAAAACGTTTGCAGTTTCATGATAAATTGTTAGTCTTATTCATTGATGCAGCACCATCATTTTGAAAGGAACTACTTGTAAGTAAGGTAACTGTACCTGGCCTTCAAGCCACAAGCAGTTTTTCAAACAAATGTACTTCAGATCTAAAGGTGAAGCTACACAACAGACAGCCCAGGAGATCCTGCTAATCAACAGCAGCTTGTGCACCCTTCATAAATGAAGATCAGTAATTTTATATATTGACTCTCTTGCAGTATAATTAAGATTTATCCTTCCCTAGTTGACCTAGTCCTTGTTAAAATTGCTCTTGCTCCCTATAAACTCAGAACTCTAGCTAAACAAGGTCCAACTAATTGCATAGATGAATATAACACATACACAAATTGGGTGAAGTTCAGCTTTTCTTACCCAAGCCCTAGAATATGCTTGTTTAGAAAGGGAAACAAGGGTGGAACTCATCCCCAGCCATCAGGTAGATCAGACAGCATGGATGTCATCCTACCAGGAACACACTTTGTAATAACTCCAACCCAAAGGGTGCAATCACTTCTGCTATCCCTCTGCACAGTGCAGTAATTTGGGGTTTCTGAATCCACAACCAAATGGATTTGATGGCCTTACTTTTGCTCATGCTTGTGGCTTTGGAAGACAGCAGGGCTCCCAATCCAAATACCTCAGGGCTTAAGAGGCATGGTAGGCAGCCTTGAATTTCTCCTAGTACAAGTAGACTGCATTAATGATTGGTAGGTAGCCTTTGAAAACAGTATCTGAAAAAAAAAATGTATCTCCTGCCATTTATAAATAGATAGATCTTCAGAAATGTAAATGTTCATCTTGAAACTGATGTACATAGTTCTAAGGTATTTTCCTCTGTATTCAGCTGTATATACGTGTAAAGTCTGCTTGCTATGTAATATTCTGTTATGCATGGAGCTGGGATAGGCATTATATTTGTCCAGTGTTTCAAGAGCCTTAAGCATGTGTGCCCTAACTTTTGAATGTACAAGTTTTTTTTTTCTTTTATTGACAAGTGAATTTAAAAGAACACAACAAAAGCCTAATTTTCTATGTCTGTTAATTTTCTGATACTAGACTTCACTAATTTGTTACACTGAACAAATTTATTATTTTCTCTTTGCTCAGAAATTGCAATATTGCAACCTAGAAAGGGAGCAATATGTCTGTCTACACATAGGGGAAGCTTGCTACCCTTCCACTCAGTAGTATTTGTGTCACATGGGATACTGTTCACAAACAAGTGTTTGCATTAGGCTACCTTTAATCAAAGAAATATTCATGTCACTTAAAGGTCATTTTGTTTCACTGGGCATGGGACAAATGACAACTAGGTTAAAACATGCTGGCTTCTAGTCACTTCAGAAGTGTGATTATAATCACATTTTGATTCCAGAACGTACATGGACAAAGCACATTGGTTGAAGAAGCTAGGGGGAAAACTCCTCTCTTTTAGGAGGACTTTTTCCCAAAAGCATTTTTTTCTAAAAGCCTGAGAGTATTTAAACAGAAGTCTCAAGGTTCATTTTCCATCTTTCCTAATAATAATGTTAAGTGTCAATTTTGATTCTTTATTGGGATTTTTTTTTTGTCTTTATAATGTAGATGGCAATGGCAATTTGTAAATGAAGAGTGTAATAAACTAGAAAAGCTTGTCAACAGTAACCAAACATTACGTGTAACATTATATATGGCTGTACTTATGTATTTATTTGTCTAAATTGTATATATTGTTTTATCTATAGTGTCTGTAGGAGTGCATTCTTTTAAAGTATTATTTACAGTTTTGTGGGATTGCCAGCAAAGCTGCTAATCGAGATACTATTTTTTTGTATCAATGTCAAATAAAAAAAAAATTAAGAACAAAAATTAAAAACTGAAGGTGTCCTGTAAGTTTTCTTCACTTCTTTCTAGAAATGCAAAGGGTATTATCTGAAAACACAATGCCAGGGAATAGGGTCAGTTTTCATAAGGGAGAATATGCTGCTGCAAAAGCAGATCTGTAAAAAATAGTTGGAAAAAATGCAGCAACCTTTCAAATCATAAAGAGATGCTTTAAAACAACTAAGAGTTTCACATACACTAAAAACCCCTCCAATCACTTTCTTTTTTCTGTCATTTTCACCGTGGCAGCCTGAGTCTAATTGCAACACTTAACATGGTGTTTAATTAATATACAGCTTGGAGATATACAGATATTAGCACTAGTAGGATGGATTTTGTGTAGCTTGATTATCTTAATTACAAGCATTCTATTTTCTCATTTACTTAATTGATTGTCATAGATTTCCAAAGAAATTTGCACTGCCCTAAGTGAAAAGAGTACGTAAAAAAAAAAAAAACCAACAAAAAAAACAAATAAAAAATCCCAACTTAAAACCAGTGAAGTTGGGCTATTCAAGCAGCAACGTGCCACAAAAGGTGATCGGAATGACAGGAAACATTGTACAAGATACTACCTACTTTTCTCTTGTTAAAAGTGGGAATTAGGAAGTGGAAGAAGAGGAGTTATCTGGAGGAAAAGTTAAAAAAAACAAAAGAAAAAAGAATATGCCTAATTGATTCAGCTGCACCTGTAATAGAGTTGTCTCAAGTATCATCTCTGATGACATGCCTAACGCAGGTAAAAAAGATCCATTTTTCTGCTAGGTCTGAGTGTTAGCTGACTCGACATTATAACTCTGCCTCACCTGAAAGAGCTAAGGAGAGCAAAAGGCAATTTGTCATGTGAGATTTATCCTTGAGCATTTATTCTGCAAAGGCAGTGGTACATGCCAAGCTGTGCAGAATTATGTGCCATTGCCTTGTAGTGTAACTTTTATCTGGAGGAGGCAAGTATCCCAAACTTGAGGTGTGCTGAGTAACACCTACCAGTTCTGCAGCTAAATCAAGAATAATTCCAATCCCTACATCCCTTTTCCTTTAGGAGTGCCTTTCTCTGACTTATTTTCTAGCATGACCTCTTTCCTCAAAGTGAAAGCAGACCTCTTGGGTACCTTAGTATAGCAGTAAAAGGGGAAAAACAGAGAGCTCCCTACAGTAGCATTTGGGAAGTACTAGCAGGCCCAAAGTACAAAATCATTTAGCACAACAGCCATTCTCTTTTGACAATAAAGATAGCAGCCATGTAAGTGATGTAAGCCACAACCAGCTGAACTCATCCGTTGTGATACACCAGCCATAGGGCTCAAAGTGCATCATGAATAGATCATGCATCAGTTCCTCCTTATCATAAGACATTTATTTGAACATCTTAGAAAAGTTGTGCCAAAGTGTAGAAAGAGCAGAAAGGGATAAAACATTCTGAAACATTCTAAATTCTTTTATTTATTCAACTTCATTAAAATTCCTCCTCAAAAAGAATGTTCTATTTCAAGAAGTTTCAACAGTTATCCATTATACATCTTCATACATCTTGAATATGTATGAAGATTTTACCTTCATACATATTCAAGGCAAATAAAGTAAAACACTGGTCTCCATTACCTGGTGTACTGCATTTGGATTGAGCTGTGTGAGGCAAATCAAATTTGACTGAAGTCACAAGCCCCATCAGTTCATAGAATCACAGAATGGTTTAGGTTAAAAAGACAATTTAAAGTTAACTATCTAGTTCCAACCCACCTGCCATGGGCAGGAACATCTTTCACTAGACTAGGTTGCTCAAAGCCCCATCCAGCTTGGCCTTGAATACTTCCAGGGATAGAGCATCCACAACTTCTCTGGGCAACTTGCCCCAGTATCTCACCACCCTTATAGTGGAGAACTTCTTCCTAATGTTTAATCTAAATCTACTCTTTCAGTTTAAAGCCTTTCGCCCTTGTCCTGTTACTACATGGTCTTGTAAAAAAATCCCTCTCCAGGTTTCTTGTAGGCCTCTAGGTAGTGGAAGGCTGTTACAAGGTGTCCCCGAAGCCTTCTCTTTTCCAGGCTGAACAAGCCCAACTCTTTCAGCCTGTCTTCATAGGAGAGGTGCTCCAGTCCTCTGAGCATCTTTGAGGCTCTCCTCTGCACTCTTTCAAACAGGCCCAAATCCTTCTTGTGTTGGGGGCTCCAGAGCTGAACACAGCATTCCAGTTGGAATACTATACTCCAGAGTGAGCAGAGGGGGAGAAACACCTCCCTCAACCTGCTAGTTGCACTTCTTTTGATGTGGCCCAGGATACATTTGCCTTTTTGGGCTGCAAGCAACATTATCAGGTATGTTGAGCTTCTTGTCTGGCCAGTGCCTCCTCAGGGCTTCGCAATCCATTCTCTGCCTAGCCTGTAGCTGTGCTTATGATTGCTCCAACACATGTGTAGGACCATGCACTTGGCCTTGGTGAACTTCACATGATTTGCATAGGCCCTCCTCTCAAGCCTGTCAACCTCCCCCCTGGCTGCCATTTCCAATGGGGTTTATATCTGTTTACAAAGGGCTGAATTTAATTTTCTGTGTCCAACGTGGGCCTTATGTTTACTCAAAGTGAAATCAACTGGGATATCATCAAGGTGTCTGGGGAAGAACGCTGTATTCCAGGCAATACTTCACTCACCAGAAACTTCACCTCTTATCAAACGCAAGCAGGAAGACAAAGCAAGTAGCAATTTTTCCAATTACCCATTAAGCCCACTCCTTATGAAGACAAAGTAGAAGAGAGACCGACAAGTTTGTAACCTGTTCAATGAGAACACACATATAACATTAACTCTCAAGAGAAGAAGGTTCTGTAGTGAGTTATAAATTTATCTGGCTCTCTGCCAGTTCACTGCTCCTAAAAAGTCTGTTTGGGAACACTAACAAATACATGCCACTGGCAAAAGCAAGAGTACCCTAGAGCCATACCTACTTCTTGCAATCACTCCCTTTTCATTCCCTACACAGATTTTATTTTGCCAGTCATTGCATTAGGAAAAAAAATAGTGGCATGATGATGCCTTTCCTAAACTTCATTCATCTGGAAGAATACCAACAGCCTAATTTTTAGGATAATGTTCTTCCCCCTTCATAATGAGACAAGTATAGATGGTCTCTTCAAGTTGGCCTCAGGACTCACTTGTGTCCCTGTAGTTCCTCTCCTCCATTCATTAGACCTGTCAATACACTCTGCATGTAGACCCCTTGCAACTCTAGTCTCTAACCTTAAGGCAATGCTAAACCTCCTTCCTTTTAACCCGTAGCCCAGCTAACTCTTCATAATTCCAGCACTAAAGGAGCTCCCCCTCCACATTCACTCAAGGGTAGTAGCCCTTGCCATCACCACAGCTGCCCCATCTCACACAGCCTCTCCAGTCATCAGGTCATTCAGCTGTGGCTTAGCCCTCAACATTCCTTTTCCCTATCTCCCCTCCTTCTCCCAGCAAGCCCTGGAAAGCTGCCTCCTGTCTGCTTCCCTACTATTCTCTCTTCTTATAGGACTGTTTACTTTTTTTCCATTACTAGTTTCCCACAAAACTGAGACTTGCACATGGTTTACCAGTTCCCACTTAAACCCTAAACTGTAAGATAAGACGAACACCTTGACTTTCCACCACATCCTTCTCCTCCCTTTGTTTTCCCCACTTCAGCTTTTTGCTCAATTTAAAAAAAACTCTTGCCCCTCACTCCAGTCTTCTGCACTTTTAATCTGCTTCAATCTGGAACATTTCCCTGTTATTTCCATCACTCTTTCCATTTTCCCAATGTTCTTTTACATAGCATCCTCCTATTTAATGCAGCTGTTCAAACTGGCCACAAAAATTACAGCACAGGGTTTTATGAAGAGATGGTTCCTCCCTGAAAGCTTTACAGTCCTACACTGTCCAATACCTGACAAAGTGAATTCCGTGAGTTTCAGAGGACAAGTAATAGTTCAAGAACCTTTTCTTCAGCATTGCCTGGCCTAGTTTTAGGTATATGGAAAAAAAACAGCCCATCTTTCATCTTGCCACTGCCTGCAGAGATTATTGCACAGCCTAATATCTCAGTATCAAGTGCTTTTATATTTTTATTATTATTATTATTCCTTATTTCTTTTACCTTTCCTCATATAGCCCTAAATAGTTCATCAGAATTCAAAACAGTACTTTTTCACATTTCATTTTAACTTCCATGTAATCAAATGTGCCTTATTCCATAATTTCAGTGTTTTAACCTTTTTATCTGCTTCTGCTCCCTAGGTTGCCTCCACTCTCATATCTTTCTATTCTAATCGTCAGATATCTGCACAGAACCTATTACAAGAAGATTTGCACGAAGGCTAAGCACAGCAGTACTTTTCCTCTATTCCAGTTTTTGAGGTATCAAAAACTGTGTTACTAGATTAGTTTCACCAGACAGGATAGCTTGTCTTACATTATCACATAACAGAAAATTTTGCTAGCATTAGAACAGAAGGCAAGTCTACAGGGCTATAGACATGACAGGTGTCAACATTCCACTCCAGGGCTGCCCCATCTCTAGAATTGTTCAGGTTGGACAAGACTTTGAGCAACCTGATCTATTAAAAGTGTCCCTGTCCATGGCAGGTGGGGTTGGAACTATGTGATCTTTAAGGCTACTTCCAACCCAAACCATTCTATGATTAATTTTTTTTTAAGTATCTCATTAATGAACTGTCTTTATATAGAACACCATTTCCCCTCACAAAGGACACATAAAGGGCCAGATCAGTCAAGATAAACTGAGGCTGTGTGTTACATTTGCCATCAATTTGGAACCACTCAACTTCCAGTTCTACCAAGTTTTAGTTGCAGGATGGTTTACGAAACAAAGCATTGCTGCCTCTGAGGAGTGGTATCCTGTACTGACGGGGGTGACTTTGTACTTCCTGAGCACCACTTTATTCTAACGTCACTTTATAATCCTGCGATAATTTCATAGAATAATTAGGGTTGGAAAGGACCTTAAGATCATTTAGTTC